AAGTGGGAGAATGGGGCGGGGTGATGGAAAGTGGGAGAATGGGGCGGGGTGATGGAAAGCAGGAGAATGGGGCGGGGTGATGGGATCGCGGGAGAATGGGGCGGGGTAATGGAAAGCGGGACAACGGGGAAGGGTGATGGAAAGAGGGAGAATGGGGCGGGGTGATGGAAAGCGGGAGAATGGGGCGGGGTGATGGAAAGCGGGAGAATGGGGCGGGGTGAGGGAAAGTGGGAGAATGGGGCGGGGTGAGGGAAAGCGGGAGAATGGGGCGGGGTGATGGAAAGCAGGAGAATGGGGCGGGGTGATGGAAAGCAGGAGAATGGGGCGGGGTGATGGAAAGCGGGAGAATGGGGCGGGGTGATGGAAAGCGGGAGAATGGGGCGGGGTGATGGAGAGCGGGAGAATGGGGCGGGGTGATGGAAAGCGGGAGAATGGGGCAGGGTCATAGAAAGCGGGAGATTCGGGCGGGGTGATGGAAAGCGGAAGAATGGGGCGGGGTGATGGAAAGAGGGAGGATGGGCGGGGTGATGGAAAGAGGGAGAATGGGGCGGGGTGATGGAAAGCGGGAGAATAGGGCGGGGTGATGGAAAGAGGGAGAATGGGGCGGGGTGATGGAAAGAGGGAGAATGGGGATGGGTGATGGAAAGCGGGAGAATGGGGCAGGGTCATAGAAAGCGGGAGAATGGGGCGGGGTGATGGAAAGCAGGAGAATGGGGCGGGGTGATGGAAAGTGGGAGAATGGGGCGGGGTGATGGAAAGCGGGAGAATGGGGCGGGTGATGGAAAGCGGGAGAATGGGGCGGGGTGATGGAAAGCGGGAGAATGGGGCGGGGTGATGAAAAGCGGGAGAATGGGGCGGAGTGATGGAAAGCGGGAGAATGGGGCAGGGTGATGGAAAGAGGGAGAATGGGGCGGGGTGATGGAAAGCGGGAGAATGGGGCAGGGTGATGGAAAGCGGGAGAATGGGGCGGGGTGATGGAAAGCGGGAGAATGGGGCGGGGTGATGGAAAGCGGGAGAATGGTGCGGGTGATGGAAAGAGGGAGAATGGGGCGGGGTGATGGATAGAGGGAGAATGGGGCGGGGTGATAGAAAGCGGGAGAATGGGGCGGGGTGATGGAAAGCGGGAGAATGGGGCGGGGTGATGGAAAGCGGGAGAATGGGGCGGGGTGATGGAAAGCGGGAGAATGGGGCGGGGTGATGGAAAGAGGGAGAATAGGGCGGGGTGATGGAAAGAGGGAGAATGGGGTGGGGTGATGGAAAGCGGGAGAATGGGGCAGGGTGATGGAAAGCGGGAGAATGGGGCGGGGTGATGGAAAGCGGGAGAAGGGGGCGGGGTGATGGAAAGCGGGAGAATGGGGCGGGGTAATGGAAAGCGGAGAATGGGGCGGGGTGATGGAAAGCGGGAGAATGGGGCAGGGTGATGGAAAGCGGGAGATTCGGGTGGGGTGATGGAAAGCGGGAGAATGGGGCGGGGTGATGGAAAGCGGGAGGATGGGGCGGGGTGATGGAAAGAGGGAGAATGGGGCGGGGTGATGGAAAGAGGGAGAATGGGGCGGGGTGATGGAAAGAGGGAGAATGGGGCGGGGTGATGGAAAGAGGGAGAATGGGGATGGGTGATGGAAAGCGGGAGAATGGGGTAGGGTCATAGAAAGCGGGAGAATCGGGCGGGGTGATGGAAAGCGGGAGAATGGGGCGGGGTGATGGAAAGAGGGAGAATGGGGCGGGGTGATGGAAAGCGGGAGAATGGGTCGCGGTGATGGAAAGCGGGAGAATGGGGCGGGGTGATGGAATGCGGGAGAATGGGCGGGGTGATGGAAAGCAAGAGAATGGGCAGGGTGATGGAAAGCGGGAGAATGGGGCGGGGTGATGGAAAACGGGAGAATGGGGCGGGGTGATGGAAAGCGAGAGAATGGGGCGGGGTGATGGAAAGAGGGAGAATGGGGCGGGGTGATGGAAAGCGGGAGAATGGGGCGGGGTGATGGAAGGCGGGAGAATGGGGCGGGGTGACGGAAGGGGGAGGGAGAATGGGGCGGGGTGATGGAAAGAGGGAGAATGGGGCGGGGTGATGGAAGGAGGGAGAATGGGGCGGGGTGATAGAAAGAGGGAGAATGGGGCGGGGTGATAGAAAGAGGGAGAATGGGGCGGGGTGATGGAAAGAGGGAGAATGGGGCGGGGTGATGGAAAGAGGGAGAATGGGGCAGGGTGATGGAAAGAGGGAGAATGGGGATGGGTGATGGAAAGCGGGAGAATGGGGCAGGGTCATAGAAAGCGGAGAATCGGGCGGGGTGATGGAAAGCGGGAGAATGGGGCGGGGTGATGGAAAGAGGGAGAATGGGGCGGGTGATGGAAAGCGGGAGAATGGGTCGGGGTGATGGAAAGCGGGAGAATGGGGCAGGGTGATGGAAAGCGGGAGAATGGGGCGGGGTGATGGAAAACGGGAGCGTGGGACGGGGTGATGGAAAGCGAGAGAATGGGGCGGGGTGATGGAAAGAGGGAGAATGGGGCGGGGTGATGGAAAGCGGGAGAATGGGGCAGGGTGATAGAAGGCGGGAGAATGGGGGCGGGGTGATGGAAGGCGAAAGAATGGGGGCGGGGTGATGGAAAGGGTGGAGGAGAATGGGGCCGGGTGATGGAAAGCGGGAGAATGGGGCGGGGTGATGGAAAGAGGGAGAACGGGGCGGGGTGATGGAAAGCGGGAGAACGGGGCGGGGTGATGGAAAGCGGGAGAATGGGGCGGGGTGATGGAAAGCGGGAGTATGGGGCGGGGTGATGGAAAGCGGGAGAATGGGGCGGGTGATGGAAAGCGGGAGAATGGGGCGGGGTGATGGAATGCGGGAGAAAGGGCGGGGTGATGGAAAGCGGAGAATGGGGCGGGGTGATGGAAAGCGGGAGAATGGGGCGGGGTGATGGAAAGCGGGAGAATTGGGCGGGGTGATGGAAAGCGGGAGAATGGGGCGGGGTGATGGAGAGCGGGAGAATTGGGCGGGGTGATGGAAAGCGGGAGAATGGGGCGGGGTGATGGAAAGAGGGAGAATGAGGCGGGGTGATGGAAAGCGGGAGAATGGGGCGGGGTGATGGAAAGCGGGAGAATGGGGCGGGGTGGTGGAAAGCGGGAGAATGGGGCGGGGTGGTGGAAAGCGGGAGAATGGGGCGGGAGGTGAAAAGCGGGAGAATGGGGCGGGGTGGTGGAAAGCGGGAGAATGGGGCGGGGTGATGGAAAGAGGGAGAATGGGGCGGGGTGATGGAAAGCGGGAGAATGGGGCGGGGTGATGGAAAGAGGGAGAATGGGGCGGGGTGATGGAAAGTGGGAGAATGGGGCGGGGTGATGGAAGGAGGGAGAATGGGGCGGGGTGATGGAAAGCGGGAGGATGGGGCGGGGTGATGGAAAGAGGGAGAATGGGGCGGGGTGATGGAAAGAGGGAGAATGGGGCGGGGTGATGGAAAGAGGGAGAATGGGGACGGGTGATGGAAAGAGGGAGAATGGGGCGGGGTGATGGAAAGTGGGAGAATGGGGCGGGGTGATGGAAAGAGGGAGAATGGGGCGGGGTGATGGAAAGAGGGAGAATGGGGCGGGGTGATGGAAAGAGGGAGAATGGGGCGGGGTGATGGAAAGAGGGAGAATGGGGCGGGGTGATGGAAAGGGTGGGAATGGGGCGGGGTGATGGAAAGCGGGAGAACGGGGCGGGGTGATGGAAAGCGGGAGAAAGGGGCGGGGTGATGGAAAGCGGAGAATGGGGGCGGGGTGATGGAAAGCGGGAGAATGGGGCGGGGTGATGGAAAGCGGGAGAATGGGGCGGGGTGATGGAAAGCGGGAGAATGGGGCGGGTGATGGAAAGAGGGAGAATGAGGCGGGGTGATGGAAAGCGGGAGAATGGGTCGGGGTGATGGAAAGCGGGAGAATCTGGCGAGGTGGTGGAAAGCGGGAGAATGGGGCGGGGTGGTGGAAAGCGGGAGAATGGGGCGGGAAGGTGGATAGCGGGAGAAGGGGGCGGGGTGATGGAAAGCGGGAGGATGGGGCGGGTTGGTGGAAAGAGGGAGAATGGGGCGGGGTGATGGAAAGCGGGAGGATGGGGCGGGGTGATGGAAAGAGGGAGAATGGGGCGGGGTGATGGAAAGTGGGAGAATGGGGCGGGGTGATGGAAGGAGGGAGAATGGGGCGGGGTGATGGAAAGCGGGAGGATGGGGCGGGGTGATGGAAAGAGGGAGAATGGGGCGGGGTGATGGAAAGAGGGAGAATGGGGCGGGGTGATGGAAAGCGGGAGAATGGGGTGGGGTGATGGAAAGAGGGAGAATGGGGCGGGGTGATGGAAAGAGGGAGAATGGGGCGGGGTGATGGAAAGAGGGAGAATGGGGATGGGTGATGGAAAGCGGGAGAATGGGGTAGGGTCATAGAAAGCGGGAGAATCGGGCGGGGTGATGGAAAGCGGGAGAATGGGGCGGGGTGATGGAAAGAGGGAGAATGGGGCGGGGTGATGGAAAGCGGGAGAAAGGGTCGAGGTGATGGAAAGCGGGAGAAGGGGGCGGGGTGATGGAAAGCGGGAGAATGGGGCGGGTGATGGAAAGCGGGAGAATGGGGCAGGGTGATGGAAAGCGGGAGAATGGGGCGGGGTGATGGAAAACGGGAGAATGGGGCGGGGTGATGGAAAGCGAGAGAATTGGGCGGGTGAGATGGAAAGAGGGAGAATGGGGGCGTGATGGAAAGGAAAGCGGGAGAATGGGGCGGGGTGATGGAAGGCGGGAGAATGGGGCGGGGTGATGGAAGGGTGAGGATGGGCGGGGTGTGTGGAAAGCGGGAGAATGGGACGGGGTGATGGAAGGGGGAGATGGGGCGGGGTGATGGAAAGCGGGAGAATGGGGCGGGGTGATGGAAAGAGGGAGAATGGGGCGGGGTGATGGAAAGAGGGAGAATGGGGCGGGGTGATGGAAAGAGGGAGAATGGGGCGAGGTGATAGAAAGAGGGAGAAGGGGATGGTGATGGAAAGCGGGAGAATGGGGCAGGGTCATAGAAAGCGGGAGAATCGGGCGGGTGATGGAAAGCGGAAGAATGGGGCGGGGTGATGGAAAGAGGGAGAATGGGGCGGGGTGATGGAAAGCGGGAGAATGGGTCGGGGTGATGGAAAGCGGGAGAATGGGGCAGGGTGATGGAAAGCGGGAGAATGGGGCGGGGTGATGGAAAACGGGAGAGTGGGGGCGGGGTGATGGAAAGCGAGAGAATGGGGCGGGGTGATGGAAAGAGGGAGAATGGGGCGGGGTGATGGAAAGCGGGAGAATGGGGCGGGGTGATGGAAGGCGGGAGAATGGGGCGGGGTGATGGAAAGCGAGAGAATGGGGCGGGGTGATGGAAAGGGTGGGAATGGGGCGGGGTGATGGAAAGCGGGAGAACGGGGCGGGGTGATGGAAAGAGGGAGAATGGGGCGGGGTGATAGAAAGCGGGAGAATGGGGCGGGGTGATGGAAAGAGGGAGAATGGGGCGGGGTGATGGAAAGCGGGAGTATGGGGCGGGGTGATGGAAAGCGGGAGAATGGGTCGGGGTGATGGAAAGCAGGAGAATGGGGCGGGGTGATGGAAAGCGGGAGAAAGGGGCGGGGTGATGGAAAGCGGGAGAATGGGGCGGGGTGATGGAAAGCGGGAGAATGGGGCGGGGTGATGGAAAGCGGGAGAATTGGGCGGGGTGATGGAAAGCGGGAGAATGGGGCGGGGTGATGGAGAGCGGGAGATTGGGGGGCGGGGTGATGGAAAGCGGGAGAATGGGGCGGGGTGATGGAAAGAGGGAGAATGAGGCGGGATGATGGAAAGAGGGGAGATGGGGCAAGAGGGAGAATGGAAAGCGGGAGAATGGGGCGGGGTGGTGGAAAGCGGGAGAATGGGGCGGGGTGGTGGAAAGCGGGAGAATGGGGCGGGGTGGTGGAAAGCGGGAGAATGGGGCGGGGTGATGGAAAGAGGGAGAATGGGGCGGGGTGATGGAAAGTGGGAGAATGGGGCGGGGTGATGGAAGGAGGGAGAATGGGGCGGGGTGATGGAAAGCGAGAGAATGGGGCGGGGTGATGGAAAGAGGGAGAATGGGGCGGGGTGATGGAAAGAGGGAGAATGGGGCGGGGTGATGGAAAGAGGGAGAATGGGGCGGGGTGATGGAAAGAGGGAGAATGGGGCGGGGTGATGGAAAGAGGGAGAATGGGGCGGGGTGATGGAAAGAGGGAGAATGGGGCGGGGTGATGGAAAGGGTGGGAATGGGGCGGGGTGATGGAAAGCGGGAGAACGGGGCGGGGTGATGGAAAGAGGGAGAATGGGTCGGGGTGATGGAAAGCGGGAGAATGGGGCGGGGTGATGGAAAGCGGGAGAATGGGGCGGGGTGATGGAAAGCGGGAGAATGGGGCGGGGTGATGGAAAGCGGGAGAATGGGGTGGGGTGATGGAAAGCGGGAGAATGGGGCGGGTTGATGGAAAGCGGGAGAATGGGGCGGGGTGATGGAAAGCGGGAGAATGGGGCGGGGTGATGGAAAGCGGGAGAATGGGGCGGGGTGATGGAAAGCGGGAGAATGGGGTGGGGTGATGGAAAGCGGGAGAATGGGGCGGGGTGATGGAAAGCGGGAGAATGGGGCGGTGTGGTGGAAAGATGGAGAATAAGGCGGGGTGATGGAAAGCGCGAGAATGGGGCGGGGTGATGGAAAGCGGGAGAATCTGGCGAGGTGGTGGAAAGCGGAGAATGGGTCGGGTGGTGGAAAGCGGGAGAATGGGGCGGGGTGATGGAAAGCGGGAGAAGGGGGCGGGGTGATGGAAAGCGGGAGGATGGGGCGGGTGGTGGAAAGAGGGAGAATGGGGCGGGGTGATGGAAAGTGGGAGAATGGGGCGGGGTGATGGAAGGAGGGAGAATGGGGCGGGGTGATGGAAAGCGGGAGGATGGGGCGGGGTGATGGAAGAGGGAGCGTGGGGCGGGGTGGTGGAAAGCGGGAGAATGGGGCGGGGTGGTGGAAAGCGGGAGAATGGGGCGGGTGGTGGAAAGCGGGAGAAGGGGGCAGGGAGGTGGAAAGGGGGAGGATGGGGCGGGGTGGTGGAAAGAGGGAGGATGGGGCGGGGGGTGTTGAAAGAGGGAGAATGATGGAAGGAGGGAGAATGGGGCGGGGTGATGGAAAGCGGGAGGATGGGGGCGGGGTGATGGAAAGCGGGAGGATGGGGCGGGGTGATGGAATGAGGGAGCATGGGGCCGGGTGATGGAAAGAGGGAGAATGGGGCGGGGTGATGGAAAGAGGGAGAATGGGGCGGGGTCATGGAAAGCGGGAGAATGGGGCGGGGTCATGGAAAGCGGGAGAATGGGGCGGGGTGATGGAAAGCGGGAGAATGGGGCGGGGTGATGGAAAGAGGGAGAATGGGGCGGGGTGATGGAAAGCGGGAGAATGGGTCGGGGTGATGGAAAGCAGGAGAATGGGGCGGGGTGATGGAAAGCGGGAGAAAGGGGCGGGGTGATGGAAAGCGGGAGAATGGGGCGGGGTGATGGAAAGCGGGAGAATGGGGCGGGGTGATGGAAAGCGGGAGAATTGGGCGGGGTGATGGAAAGCGGGAGAATGGGTCGGGGTGATGGAGAGCGGGAGAATGGGGCGGGGTGATGGAAAGCGGGAGAATAGGGCGGGGTGATGGAAAGAGGGAGAATGAGGCGGGGTGATGGAAAGAGGGAGAATGGGGCAGGGTGATGGAAAGCGGGAGAATGGGGCGGGGTGGTGGAAAGCGGGAGAATGGGGCGGGGTGGTGGAAAGCGGGAGAATGGGGCGGGGTGGTGGAAAGCGGGAGAATGGGGCGGGGTGATGGAAAGAGGGAGAATGGGGCGGGGTGATGGAAAGTGGGAGAATGGGGCGGGGTGATGGAAGGAGGGAGAATGGGGCGGGGTGATGGAAAGCGGGAGGATGGGGCGGGGTGATGGAAGAGGGAGCATGGGGCGGGGTGGTGGAAAGCGGGAGAATGGGGCGGGGTGGTGGAAAGCGGGAGAATGGGGCGGGTGGTGGAAAGCGGGAGTAGGGGGCGGGGAGGTGGAAAGGGGGAGGATGGGGCGGGGTGGTGGAAAGAGGGAGGATGGGGCGGGGTGGTGGAAAGAGGGAGAATGATGGAAGGAGGGAGAATGGGGCGGGGTGATGGAAAGCGGGAGGATGGGGCGGGGTGATGGAAAGCGGGAGGATGGGGCGGGGTGATGGAATGAGGGAGCATGGGGCCGGGTGATGGAAAGAGGGAGAATGGGGCAGGGTGATGGAAAGAGGGAGAATGGGGCGGGGTCATGGAAAGCGGGAGAATGGGGCGGGGTCATGGAAAGCGGGAGAATGGGGCGGGGTGATGGAAAGCGGGAGAATGGGGCGGGGTGATGGAAAGCGGGAGAAGGGGGCGGGGTGATGGAAAGCGGGAGAATTGGGCGGGGTGATGGAAAGCGGGAGAATGGGCGGGGTGATGGAAAGCGCGGAGAATGGGGCGGGGTGATGGAAAGCGGGAGAATGGGGCGGGGTGATGGAAAGAGGGAGAATGGGGCGGGGTGATGGAGAGCGGGAGAATGGGGCGGGGTGATGGAGAGCGGGAGAATGGGGCGGGGTGATGGAAAGCGGGAGAACCCTATACCCTAAACCCTGAACCCTAAACCCTGAACCCTAAACCCTAAAAATAGATTGTTCAATGAGATCATAGAAAAACATAATAATACTAAGAGAAGCTAGTCTAAAGATGAAAAAAAATAAATTGATAACCTAGTAGATTTAGCTAGCTTATGGATGTAATAAATCGCTACAACGCAATGGCGCAACGATCGAGCGGCGTAATGATTGAGCAGCGCAGCGACGCAATGACGGAACGAGGCAACAACGCAACGGCGCAACGATCCGACGGTGAAATGATGACATACGATGTAATAAATCGCAACAGCGCAACGACTCAATGGCGAATCTGCATTTACTAAAAATACTACTAAAAAGAAAGTATGTGGCACATTGTAGTAATATTGGAACATTGTAATATCGTGACAAACTAGCATCGTGACTAGCGAGCATCGTGACCAGCGAGCATCGTGACTAGCGAGCATCGTGACTAGCGAGCATCGTGACTAGCGAGCATCGTGACCAGCGAGCATCGTGACCAGCGAGCATCGTGACCAGCGAGCATCGTGACTAGCGAGCATCGTGACCAGCGAGCATCGTGACCAGCGAGCATCGTGACCAGTGAGCATCGTGACTAGCGAGCATCGTGACCAGCGAGCATCGTGACTAGCGAGCATCGTGACTAGCGAGCATTGTGACTAGCGAGAACCGTGACTAGCGAGCATCGTGACCAGCGAGCATCGTGATTAGCAAGCATCGTAATCAGCGAGCACCGTGACCAGCGAGCATCGTAACTACCCAGCATCGTGACTAGCGAGCATCATGACCAGCGAGCATCGTGACTAGCGAGCATCGTGACTAGCATCGTGAGCATCGTGATTGACATCGCGAAAATATATAACCATTAAGAGGTATCTGTAAATTTCAAATAAATTCCTTTATCAATCCGTTAAATGATTGAAACCAATTATTCTAAAAATAGATTGTTGAATCAGATCATAGAAAAACATATTAATACTAAGAGAAGCTAATCTAAAGACTAAAAAAATAAATTGATAACCTAGTAGATTTAGCTAGCTTATGGATGTAATAAATCGCTACAACGCAATGGCGCAACGATCGAGCGGCGTAATGATTGAGCGGCGCAGCGACGCAACGACGCAACGAGGCAACAACACAACGGCGCAACGATCCGACGGTGCAATGATGACAACGATGTAATAGAATGGGAGGCAAGAAATAGCGGTCTGCATTTACTAGAAATACTACATATAATAATGTATGTTCCATTTTAGACTAGCTAGTATATGTGGCACATTGTAGTAATATTGGAACATTGTAATATCGTGGCCAACGAGCATCGTGACTAGCGAGCATCGCGACCAGCAAGCATCGTGACTAGCGAGCATCGTGACCAGCGAGCATCGTGACCAGCGAGCATCGTGACTACCGAGCATCGTGACCAGCGAGCATCGTGACCAGCGAGCATCGTGACCAGCGAGCATCGTGACTAGCGAGCATCGTGACCAGCGAGCATCGTGACTAGCGAGCATCGTGACCAGCGAGCATCGTGACTAGCGAGCATCGTGACCAGCGAGCATCGTGACTAGCGAGCATCGTGACCAGCGAGCATCGTGACTAGCGAGCATCGTGACTAGCGAGCATCGTGACTAGCGAGCATCATGACCAGCGGGCATCGTGATTAGCGAGTATCGTGATAAGCGAGCATCGTAACAGCGAGCATCGTGACTACCGAGCATCGTGACTAGCGAGCATCGTGACCAGCGAGCATCGTGACTAGCGAGCATCGTGACTAGCATCGTGAGCATCGTGATTGACATCGTGAGAATATAAAACCGTTAAGAGGTTTTCAAATAAATTCCTTTATCAATCCGTTAAAATGATTGAAACCAATTATTCTAAAGTAGATTGTTCAATGAGATCATAGAAAAACATAATAATACTAAGAGAAGCTAATCTAAAGATGAAAAAAAAATGATAACCTAGTAGATTTAGCTAGCTTATGGATGTAATAAATCGCTACAACGCAATGGCGCAACGATCGAGCGGCGTAATGATTGAGCGACGCAGCGACGCAACGACGCAACGAGGCAACAACGCAACGGCGCAACGATCCGACGGTGCAATGATGACATACGATGTAATAAATCGCAACAGCGCAACAACTCAATGGCGGATCTGCATTTACTAGAAATACTACATATAATAATGTATGTTCCATTTTAGACTAGCTAGTATATGTGGCACATTGTAGTAATATTGGAACATTGTAATATCGTGACAAACGAGCATCGTGACTAGCGAGCATCGTGACCAGCGAGCATCGTGACCAGCGAGCATCGTGACTAGCGAGCATCGTGACTAGCGAGCATCGTGACCAGCGAGCATCGTGACCAGCGAGCATCGTGACCAGCGAGCATCGTGACCAGCGAGCATCGTGACCAGCGAGCATCGTGACCAGCGAGCATCGTGACCAGCGAGCATCGTGACCAGCGAGCATCGTGACCAGCGAGCATCGTGACCAGCGAGCATCGTGACCAGCGAGCATCGTGACCAGCGAGCATCGTGACCAGCGAGCATCGTGACTAGCGAGCATCGTGACTAGCGAGCATCGTGACCAGCGAGCATCGTGATTAGCGAGCATCGTGATCAGCGAGCATCGTGACCAGCGAGCATCGTAACTACTGAGCATCGTGACTAGCGATTATCGTGACCAGCGAGCATCGTGACTAGCGAGCATCGTGACTAGCATCGTGAGCATCGTGATTGACATCGTGAGAATATAAAACCGTTAAGAGGTATAAGTAAATTTCAAATAAATTCCTTTATCAATCCGTTAAAATGATTGAAACCAATTATTCTAAAAATAGATTGTTCAATGAGATCATAGAAAAACATAATAATACTAAGAGAAGCTAATCGAAAGATGAAAAAAATAATTGATAACCTAGTAGATTTAGCTAGCTTATGGATGTAATAAATCGCTACAACGCAATGGCGCAACGATCGAGCGGCGTAATGATTGAGCGGCGCAGCGACGCAACGACGCAACGAGGCAACAACGCAACGGCGCAACGATCCGACGGTGCAATGATGACATACGATGTAATAAATCGCAACAGCGCAACGACTCAATGGCGGATCTGCATTTACTAGAAATACTACATATAATAATGTATGTTCCATTTTAGACTAGCTAGTATATGTGGCACATTGTAGTAATATTGGAACATTGTAATATCGTGACAAACGAGCATCGTGATTAGCGAGCATCGTGACCAAGCGAGCATCGTGACTAGCGAGCATCGTGACTACCGAGCATCGTGACTAGCGAGCATCGAGACTAGCGAGCATTGTGACCAGCGAGCATTGTGACCAGCGAGCATCGTGACTAGCGAGCATCGTGACCAGCGAGCATCGTGACTAGCGAGCATCGTGACTAGCGAGCATCGTTGTCAAACATATTTATATGGGTTATATTACTGGTAGGCTGTAGTGGGGTAGATTCTGTGGGGTATAACCCCTTAGGGTTTTCCTACTTGTAAAATTTCTCTCGATAGTCAACTTCAACCTTGCCTAATTCTCTCGACATGGTATCAGAGCAGGTTCCTA